AAAATGTAATATATGATGACGTTAACAATTCCATTTGTAGTTGGAGCCTGGAATTTACTGGAAACTTTTCGATAGTCTAAATGAAAGGATTCCTGAAAGGCCAAGCCTTAAAGAAATACAAAATATTGTTTTCCCAACTAGAGCTGTCATATTACGAAGGCCTTTATGTAGGATATGTGTTCTTGTTCTTTTCTTCCTATTTTTTCTTTTCCTAAAATATGGTCAGTGGAAAATGTCGTTTTGCTATTTATGACTTAGATCTCTGCTTAGGACCCGGAAAGAAATGAGTATGCCACAGAACTCGAGGAAATAAAATAAAAGTAATAACAGTCAGAATCAGTGAAATTGTTTATGTCACGGTTAGATTCTTCCGTTTTATTTCCTGAGAGATCATTATTTTGTAAAGATGCCATGACTTGTTTATATTCTTCACGATTCCATTTCGTTGGCTTTCTTTTTCATTAATCGATTTGGCATTAAGTCACCAAGTTGAATGTTGGAGTTAATGCGGCTTTAGTGAGCAGGTGTCACATTTTTGGTCGTAGTGTTTGTTCCAGTGATAGATTTTTCGACCCCAGACTGGTTCCTCTCTGAAGAATGGTGCCTTGTTTACACGGGTGGCAAGCGATCCAGTATAAGGACGACTGTCGAAAAAGGCTACCGAGCTCGCCCTGCCCATATAATAATAATAATAATAATAATAATTATTATTATTATTATTATTATTATTATTATTATTATTATCATTATTCTTGTTGTTGTTGTTATCCTCAAGGATGTTGTCGTGGCAATCTCAAAAATATGTCATATGAGGGCATCAGTAATTCCAATTTTAGCTGGAACCCTCGGATTGATTGGAGAAAGTTCTGATAGACTCACTGAATGGATACTTGGTAGGTCATGCCTTTAAGAAATAGAAACATTGTACTTACAATTACAGCTCACACATTACGAAGAGCTTAACCTATGCAAACTCTGTGTGTTTTGTGGTTGAAAACAAACAAGAACATACATTATCATCGACGTTGATGTTCCTACTGAACATAATGTCAAGATCAAAGAAATTGACAAGCTTAAGAAATACGCCCAACTACTGATTGAAATTGGGAATGGGGGACGTTCAAGTTACAATTGTTACAATTCTCATTGGAGATTTCGGTATCTATACCTCCGAAAATAAAGTCCTACATCAAGAAAATCAGAACAAAGACTAATATCACATCGTTTCAGAAGTCTACATTGCTTGGCACCGTAAATATTCTGCGAAAAAAGTGCTACTTACAAAATAAAAGCTTTCCGGTTAAAAAGGAAAATCTTTGCGAAATAATAATAATAATAATAATAACGCAATTAAAGGCACACAGAACAAGTCGATATGAAAAGCGTTGGAGGTTCTATCGTCAAAATAAGTTATTGAAATATAATAATAATAATAATAATAATAATAATAATAATAATAAGCCTTAAAGAAATACAAAAAAAAATTGTTCTCACGAATACAGCCCACACCTTACGAAGGGCTTTATCTATGTAAAATATGTGTTTTTTTTTTTTTGTCAGTGGAAAATGTCATGATGCCATTTCTAACTTAATGTTTTCTGGGCGGGACCCGAAAAAAAGTGCACACACCGGAAATTAAAGGAAATAAAATAATAATAGTACTACTATTACTAATTAATATGGCTAGTCTAGCGGACTGTAACATAGTAGCCATGGAATTTAAAAAAACTATCGAAGTATAAACACATAGAAATCCTAAAATGTGGAAATTGAAAAAAAAAAATAGTATCATCCATAGTAGGTGCTCTTGGAATTTAAAAAAAAAGGAACACAAAAACACATTGAAAAAATCCCTGGAAATCTCAGCTTAAGAGAAATTCAAAAATTGTCTTGATAAGTACAGCCTAGAAAGAAAAACAAATAATGATATGTAGCTACAAGAGCACGCTACTACCTGCCTTAGGTCTTACCACAGACTTGGTGTGCCCATAGCAGAAACTGAAATATAATGATGATGATAATAATAATTTTTTAATAATAATAATAATAATAATACCGCGGTGAACTCAAAAAACAGATTATTCATTCACCTACTCTACATTGATGATCTCAAACTCTTTTCCAAATACGACAATGAGTTGAAGGGCATCCTCATTATTGTAATATGTTTCAGTGACGACACCGGTATGGACTAAATAGATAAATGTGCAAAAGTAACAGTCAAGGAAGGAAGAATTATAGAAACAACCTTAAAAGATTTAGACTTTGTCACAAAGATTAGGGAGCTGGAACAAGATGAAGCCTATAAGTACATAGGAATTAGAGGAGATGGTATACAACATAACCAAATGAAGAAGGTAAGAAAAGAGCACTACAGGCGTGTGCGTCTGGTAGTAAAATCCCAGCTTAATTTAAAAAAAAAACAAAAAAAAACAGAATATCAGCCCTAAACACCTTGACTGTCCTTGTAGGGCAATACAGCTTTAACATCCTTAATTGAACCATAGCGGACATTAAACGAATGGATGCTAAAACGAGAAAACTTCTCACTTTTGCCGCATGTATTATCCCAAAAGCAGACGTTGATCGTCTGTATGTGCCCAGATCCGAAGGAGGTAGAGGATTAGTTCAACTAGAACTGTCCTACAAAACCACAACAGTTGGCCTACAAAGATACCTGGAAACTACAGCAGACTGGATGATGATATGTGCCAAAGAACATGAAAGTAGTAAGTGTCTTTATTCCATAATAAAGGAATGGATGCAGAAATACAAGTAAGGCACAATACACCGATTGAAGGTGCAAAATACATAAAAAAATGAAAAAAACAAATGCAACCGACCAGATATAGAAACAATGGCAAGATAAACCGCTTCATGGCCAATAATCTGCTCGTACCAAACAAGCTGATGTAGACAAACCCTGTACCCATCAGTAGCTACGTAGTGCAGGTTTAAAAGTTGAAACAGAAGGTTTTATCATTGTTGCACAGGATCCGTGCTTGTTAACTAGAAATTATCAAGCACGCATGCTAAAATACACCGTTAGCTCAAAATGCAGGTTCTGTGATAATTACACAGAAGCAATTGATCATCTTGTATCAGGTTGCACGGTATTGGCATCCACTGAATATAAATCCCGCCTGACAGAGTTGGCCAAAATCTGCACTGGAAAATCTGTAACTTCTACGGGAAGGGAACTGAAAGAAAGTGTTATGAACACTACTCAGGATCTGTTATAATTTTATTGGACTACACAAGACACACAGACAGAACAATCAAAGCTAACCGCCCAGACATTGTTATTAGAGATTGCACACCAAAAAAGTACCTCATTATTGATATGGCAGTACCTGCAGACTGTAATGTATCTTTCAAAATCTTGAAAAAGTTATCAAAATGCAAGGATCTTGAAATCGAAATCACAAAAATGTGGCACATGGAAATATCAACAATCCCCGTTGTAGTTGGAGCCCTCGTATTATTTGGAAAAGATTCCATTAGACTAATTGAAGGGATTTCTGGAAGCCCATACCTGAAAGAAATACAAAAAAAAAATTGTTCTCACGAGTATAGCCCACGCCATACGAAGGTTTTTGTCTATGTAAATTATGTTTCTTTTTTTTTTTTAAGTGGAAAATGCCATGATGCCATGATGCCATTTCTAACAATAGGTTCCTGGGCGGAATCTCCTGAATCACAGAAATCAAAGGAAATAATAATAATAATAATAATAATAATAATAATAATAATAATAATAATAATAATAATAATGGCACAGAGAACAATTCGATGCGAAAAGCGTTGCAGTTTATATCGCCAAAACAAAATATTTCAAACGGAACACAAGAAGTTTTACAGGTCAATTGGAAAATCAGTTATAGAAGTCAAAACCCACCATCTCCCAACGATTTGGGGAGAATATTTGGAGCAAATGTAGAGTGGATCAAACGAGGGCAAGAAAGAATGGAGGATAAACTTGTGTAATAATGGAAATATATAATTAAGAATAATGTTAGACAAGCTCTGATATAAACCCCACAATGGAAATCACCATGAAATAACAAAGTAATTAACTTTCGGCTCTATCTTCTGTCATCAATCCATAAAACTTTTGCGAAAACTTTATCAATGCAAATTAATAACCCCACTGAAATTCCAGAATGGAATGTATTGTATATTTCGCACCAAAAAACGCATGAAACATAATCCAAAAATTTAAAGGCAAATAACAAGTTTTTCCACCACATATAATCATTTCAGGTCTGTCCTGACGAATTGTATTTCCTCTTTTCTCGATGAAAACAACATACGTCCCGTAGAAAAAAAAAGGTGTGTCGATGTTCATATGGTTGCAAAAACCAAATACTAATAAATTGCAGAGAAAGGTAGAAATCTCTGCAAAACCTGGACAGATTACAGTAAAGCCTTTTATAGTGTGTCACTGTCTTGGATACTTAAGGATTTGGAAATGTACAAGTTCTCCTCAATGATAGTAAATATCTTTAAATATAGCATGAAACTGGAAAATCCCGTTATACCTAAATAGCACTAAAGGTTGTGCCACTTTCAAATGTTTGAATATCGGACAATGTTTCTTTCAAGGAGATTCTCCACCGCCGATTCTATTCTTTCTGTCCTTAATCCCCTTTTTGCATGAACAGAACAGTGATAATTCTTTCTTTTTTTTCTTTTTAGATCCGCTGTGAATTTCACCTTATCGAACCGATTATACTTATTATTAAACAGTAGGAAATAGTTGTGTCATCAGCATAGATATCAAGTTGAAAACTGATGACATCGGGATCGTCGTTGATGAAGATGATGAAAATGTTAGGTTCAAGAAGAGAGCAATCCGGCACATATGCATTAAAGGAAAAAAAGATTTAGAAGAGTGACCGTTCAAGAGAGCTTTCATTTTCAGATTTGATAAAAAGTATTGAATAAGTCAAAAAAATCGCCCAACTTGTAAAGGAGACCAGCATGCCAAAACCTGTCAAATGCTTTCGATATTTCTTTCATCAATATACATCAGCATTGAACTAGAGAGGCGTATCTGAAAGTAAACACCGCGTGGTGAAATGAACAAATTCAGAGTTGATTAGAGCTTCTCGTACATTGCCAACAAGTAGAAGAAGAGTAGTAACAATTAATTTATCTAGTCCGCATTTTCTATCTATCTTACACTGTTCATCTATCTATCTATCTATCTATCTATCTATCTATCTATCTATCTATCTATCTAAACATTTTTATATCTTTTTCTGTCTGTTCACATCTTTCTGTCTATCTATCTTATACATTTTTGAATCTATCTCACTCTTCGCATCTATCTATTTACCTATCTATAATATGTTTTATATCTTTCTCAGTCGGTTCAGATCAATCAATCTCTCTATCTATATATATATCTATCTATGTATCTATCTATCTCATTAATTTTTGTATCTAACTCAGTCTCTTCACATCTATCTACTTATCTCTCTACTTATCTATCTTAATATTTTTTATCATTCTCAGTCTGTTCACATCTCTCTCTCTCACTCTCTCTCTATCTATCTAGCTATCAATCTATCTTATCCATTTTTATCTCAGTCTCTTTACATCAATCTATCTAAATATTTATCTATCTATCTATCTATCCTAATATTTTTATATGTTTCTCAATCTATTCACATTTCTCTATCACTGCCTATCAATCTATCTATGTATTTCTCTATCTCATACATTTTTGTATCTATCTCAGTCTCTTCACATCTATCTATCAAAATATTTATCTATCCTAATATTTTTATATGTTTCTCAGTCTGTTCACATCTCTCTATCACTGCCTATCAATCTATCTATCTATTTATCTCTCATACATTTTTGTATCTATCTAAATCACTTCTCATGTATCTATCTATCTATCTATCTATCTATCTATCTATCTATCTATATATATATATATATATATATATATAAATATAAATATTAAAATCTATCTATCGGTTTATTTATCTACAAATTAATAAAACAAAGAAAAGGTAATATATTTATTGATGGATGAATCTGTATAATAAGAATCCTGTTCAAAATGTAAGGTGCGTATAAATCAAACCGAATAAAAATTGTGTGTAAGTTGCAAACCCAAAGTAACAGAGAATATACAATATTTCTTGCATCAGCCACAACAGCCTTGACATTGAACTCACAAATGTGCGACTGAAAAACAAAGACGACTGCCACCATAGAACAGTGCACAAGCATAGAGGTGCGAGATGTAATAAAATTTTTGCATGCCGATAGCATAAAATGGCAATTTTTGATCCCAAAGCAATTGAGCAAAGAGCATAAGCTACACTGCAGGCGCGTTTCTTTTGAGCCTTTATATCAAGAGTAAACATAACGAGCACATGATCGCGGGTAATGAGACCTATGTGCAACACTTTTACTCTTTTTACAAAGGTCGATTTCATGACATGTCATCATCAATCGTCATAGTCTTCCACAAAAATCTATGGCAAACACTAGAAATTGATGTCATGTGTTTTTTGATGGTAAATTTTGGATGCTGTTTTCCCTCTTTCATTTAACTCACACACACACACACACAAATATATATATATATATATATATATATATATATATATATATATATATATATATATATATATATATACACATATATTATGATAAAAAAGAAAGAACAGTAAGATATATAATCCAGTGTTCTTATTAATATTTTTATTTTTACAAAACAGTGTTTAATGTAAATTTACAGAGCATAAATATAAATTAACTGATCTAAAATATGGTTTTTTCGTTACACAGGAATTACCATGTTACAAAAACGGAAGCTAAAAACTTTAAATTTAATTATATAATTAAATTAAAAGCATTTGTTCTGTTTCATCTTCAAGCGAATTTTGGAATAACTTATTTTTAAATTTACTGAGTTTAAAAGCACATACAAAATGCACCCCTACCATCCCTACACTTAACCTCTTTTTCGAACTTAAGTCATAATTGATACAATAATAGTTAATAAAAATGAACACGTTACAGTATCTAAATGATTGGATTTTTCTGTATCGTTGGAAACAAAAAAATTATGGATTGTATGTGCGTTTAAAATTCAGTAAATTTAAAAAAAATTCTATAATAATATATAAATAATGATATTGCATTCTTTAGTTTTTCTTTTTAAAAAATAAAGCGTTAAGTAGACATTTTAACAAAATCGCCAGAGAATATCGTAAAGTTGAAAGCAAGATAGTGGAATTGACTAACCTCCTGATTTATAAAATTAAAATCAGTACATGTTATAAATTTAATTTAATCTTTTCATACGTGTATTGAGCATTTTTAATACTACTGTTTCCTGGTCTAATTCAAATCTGACCATTAAACTTTTATGTATAATATGTAAACACACAAATATATAATGAAAATATAATTTGAACCGTTATTGATGAGTAAATGTGACCAATATCAGGAGGAGAGCGTGTTCCAGATTGTAGAGTGGGAGGAGAATTTAAGGGCAAAGAATTCAGCTTTATCAGCATAGGATGATAACACCTCAAGTCGATTAAAAAGTGGGGGGATACAGACCTCGAATTTATTTAGTAACCTATTACTTTGCCGCCAGTAATCACGACAGCCAATGATTTTAGAGGATGTGCGGTGCCTCATTCTTTCAGCTGCTTTGAAGTCTCTCTTACATTTGTTACGGGCAGTAGCAAATACGCGCCTGTTGTGAGCAGAGCTGTCATAGTTGAAAATAGTCGTTCCTCTGTGCTATGGCGGCCGAACATGCTGGTGTATACCATAGAGATGATTACGTTTTCACTCTGAGAAGGGATGAAAGCGACAATGCCTACTTTGACCCAAGAAGAACCATCAGTGGATCAATTTTCAGTTGGGAGGTTGAAGATGCCAGTCCAAGCGCATCACGAACAAAAACTGGTAAAGGAAAGACGTCTTACAGATAGGGGGTTCCTAAATGGATGCTTGGAAGGAGATAACAGTAGCTGACCACAGTGGTCCGAGTTACCTAGAGTGCAGTATTGCGAAACGGGGAAAGAGAGAGGAAAGGAGGTAAGAAATAGATCAGGACAGAAGCCTGTTATCGGTTTGGTTAAATAAACGAGTAGGGAAGTCCACGATTTGAGTGAGACGTTGGGCAATGAAAAACTTTAATGTCTGTATACCTTTAGAATATTTCAGCCACGTGTCGTGGTGAGCATTAAACTCCCTGAAGACAAAGATGTTCGCAGAGGGATGGAGAGAAAATGATTTTTCTATACTGTCATCTATTGTGTGTAAAATACTGAAATCTTGAGAAGACGAGGAGAGATAAAGGAAAAACAGATAGCTGACAGAGTTTAGTAGCGAAAGATGGTAGCACATGAAAGAGTAGTCAACGACCTAGAGAGACCATTCTCTGGTAATCTATCTATCTATCTTTATATATATATATATATATATGTGTGTGTGTGTGTGTGTGTGTGTGTGTGTGTGAATAAAAATAAATAAAAAACTGTCAACAAATACCATATTTAAAAACATATTTCGGTCTACACATATTTCGTCTAAGTGTTTGTCTATGTATGGCGAGGGGGGGATTACGCCCTGAAGATGACAATATGAAATTGTTGAAAGTACTTGGTATGTGTCTTCCACCCGACAACAACTCGAATATAAAGATCTTATTATTCAAGTTATTGATAGTAAGTTAATGTTTAATTAAGCCTTGTTAGCGAAGTGATTTCTCCATTAATCATATTAACAATGCTAATTATTTATTTGTATAAATTGTTTCTTTATGTTATAATATATATGCCCCTAAAAAAAATTATTTCGGTTGAGCTCTCTGGGGAGGAAGTGTGAGTTTGTGAACAGTGACTAATACGGTTAATAATGCAAGACTCTTCAGTAAATCGAATCGTGTTCTCTCAGTCACTGTGTGTTTATCTAAAAAATAAATACGCTTAAATTCACCTTCATCCCTGGTAGAATCTACAAATGACGCCAAATAAGTCGGATTTCTATCCTATCTAGAGGCAACCGGACATCTAGGCACACTGATGAGCTGTGATAAAGCGAAACAGTCTGTCTGTGGCTGAGAACATATATATATATATATATATATATATATGAAAAAAAAGTGGAAATAGAAATCTCTCTCGTTCTCTCTCTCTCTCTAAGCATTCGGATATCTAGTCCCATTTATGAGCTGTGAAACAGAAAAACAGTCTGTCTGTGGATAATATATATATATATATATATATATATATATATATATATATATATATATATATTGATATAGAAGGTAAAAGTAAAAGATATTTATTGAACATAGAATTTAAAACTTTCTAGTGTCTGAAACAAGAGGCCTATTTACTTGAATTTTTTCCTTACTTTCAAGTGATCAAAACTTAATTCCTCGTTTTCCTTCTTTTCTTTTCAATTTACTCTTTCGTTAAACCATTTCTGAATCTAGAAACCGCAGACATTGCTTTGGCTGCATGAAACATTGTAATAAGTGGACCACGTACATATGTACAAACTGACGAAAAGGTGACTGTATAAATGGATGTGTGAGTAAAAGTTTGCAAGTGTCTATGTTGTGTAAATGGACAATGTTCGGTTCGCTTTAAAGAGATCATCATTTTAGCCATGAGGCAGCGGTTTATTCATAAAGATGAAGAGTCTGAAAAGAAGTACGAACGTCTAGAAAGATAAGAGACGTCGAAGACTCGAGGAGACGGAAAGTAATCATTGGCCAGGATGTTAAGATTACTTATGGGAAGAGGAAAGGTGGGAGAAGACCTGTTGGTAAGAAATGGCACCAGGGGTTTGGACGGAATAATGAATTGAAATAAGGGAAAAGATACATTTAGCCCCAACAGCGGAAATATTCAGGAGGTGGAGGCCTTAGGCAGAGGCAGGGAGCCAAGTAATGTGTTACTAGCTGGAGTTAGATGACTTAAATGGATGTCCTCATATTCTCGCGGACCACAAATTTACTTACTTGTGTAGATAAATTTGTATGTCATTTCCTTGAAATAGATAAAAATGTTAGTAGTTATGAAAATAGATTGGTAGCAAGAATATATATATATATATATATATATATATATATATATATATATATATATGTATATCGTACACAATGTGAGGAATTTGTGAATCAGACATCATACACTTAGCATTAAATATACTTAACGTTATATAAATATATACGTAAATGCATATATTTATAAGCTTCAAAGATATTGCTAATTATATTCCTAGTAGAATATATGTGTGTGTTTGGGCTGTGTGAAGAGAGTGAAATATAGATAGTAAGATACATAGGTAGATATATAGTGTGGACATAGGAATAAATACTGCGTGGCGAACGTCGGATTCTCACCTTAAGAAAGATGTCCACAATAAAGACTAAAATCGCCATTCACAATATAGTATTGATTCTTATGTACACACTGCAATTCTTAAACAATATATACAAATATGCAGGCATAAAAACGTACACGCACACACACACATATATATGTATATGTATATATAAATTTATTTTGCTTAAACGTTATTTCTAGATTGATACACATGTTTGTGTAAATGGCCTGTTCGTTTAATTAAACATTATTTCATTTAATTACATTTAATTAAATAAACAGAGCATTTACTTAAAGATACGTATCCATCTAAAAATAAAGTTTCAGCAAAGCATGTTAGAATATATTAGGTTTAAGCAATTTCATATTATATATATATATATATATATATATATATATATATATATATATATATATATATATATATATAGAAGGGGAAATAAGTGTTGAAAAGTATTTAGAAAAGTAGAATGCTTTTATCTTACAAATAGCGGACCGCCTGAAGATTTCGCCATCCGTATGAAACTGACATAGTCGGTCGCTTCTTTGCCAGAATTTACTTTATATATATATATATATATA